AAAACTGGCAGTCATTCAGCAAGCACCCAAAGATGAGGGGCAATGTGGACTGCAGAATGAATGCTAAAGTCAAAATGGAAAAACTGAAGTTTATTCCCAGTTCTGTAATTGACCATAACATCTCGGACCAGTTACTTAGCCTCCCTGAGCTGCCATCTTGTGTGTTTTATTTTGTTTCATATGGAAAATAGAAGGCAATTAAAAAACTTAAATAATAGCTGGAAAAACATCAGAGATATGATGACCTATCCCCAGCATCATATATGAAAAAGGTAAGGCAGAGAAGTATGCCCAAACACAGGTAATTAAACCAAAAAGGCTGTGAGAGCCTTTTACATCTTTTTACATCTCCAACATTTTAAAATTTATTTAAAGTTATCTATGTCAAATTTTTATACCATGTAAAAGGCAAAAAAGGATGATAATCATCAAATCTAGGATGATTCTTATCTCTTCAAGAAGCCATAGGGAACATAATCAGGAAGAACTTCAATTGTACTAGCAAAATTTTGTTTCTCAAATTGAGTTTGGAATACGTGCATGTTTATTTTTTAATGCCATTTTTTGGTTTTTCATCATTTTTTAAGTAGCCACTAAAACATCTTTAACCAAAAGTTGAATTAAATAAATAAAGGCCAATAGAAATAGTGTGTGGTTTCAAGCATTCTCCTGCTGAGCCTAAAAGGTAACTATCACTGTGTACCCCTAATATGAAAATGAAAGATTGAAACAGGCAGTATATACATATATGTATGTATGTATATAAATGTATAGATGTGTAAGTAGTTAACTATTTACAATCTCTCAGCTTAATAAATATTAAAAGAACATGAATGGCACAAAATACATAATGAATTGTATCACTGATAGCATGATTAACCCATTTAAGAACACTGAGAGAAATACATAATAATTTGTACTCTAAACATGCCTAAGAGAAATATATTCAAGAGTCACATCTGAGAGTCTAGTGTTTAAACATCAGCGTTCTTTGTTTGTTTGTTTTTACTGAGAAAAACAGGAAGTGCAATGATTTATCTAAAGGAAGCAAAGACCTTTTTAAATCGCTACACAGAAACTACCTGTAAAAACCAAGTGCCTCAGAAATCTCTGAAATTTTCCAGCAAGAAAGTATAGGTCAATCAGCAAAATATATTTACTGTATACCACCATAATAGCTATTTAATTGTTATCATTATGATGCAGATATATAATGGAAACAGATGTTCCTTTTTTCCTTTCAGCAAAGCACAGGAAAAGCATAAACTTGCTGATATTGCATGGACTACTACCATAGCACAATAGAGAGAAAAAAGACATTAGCACATGACAATATTAGTTTTTACTACACAACTAATTGCATAAAAAGTATAACTTGAGATCATTAAATCAATATAATTTTCAGCACTACAGAAGGGAAACAAATAGATTTGTATAACCAGCCTATTTCACATCTGCAGTTAAGAAAATACTTCTGAGAGACTAAGTACATGCAAAATGCTACTATTGCTGTCAGAACACAAGGAAAAGAGTGTTGTTCTGTTTTCTTGGCTCATGTAATATGAATTAGAATGCTGCCTCTACAAAGAAATTTTCTTAAACAGCACTAGTGTAAACTGGAAGAACCTTTCTGGAAAACAATTGCAATTTATATCAAGAACCTTAAAAAACAGTCTACATTCTCACTCCATGTAACCTCTTTTCTGAAAATATATTGTAAGGCAATAACCAGATAATTATTAACTGGATGATTAAAGATTTATTTTAAGTGCCGTTCATCATAACTTTGTCATAATGGAATATTAGAGATCTAACTCTCAAATAGCAGAGCAATGGTTAATTAAATTATATATGCTAAAATATATGATCAAAATAAATGACTTTAATAATGAATTTATATAGAAAAGTTGTCATACAATGTCAACTTAAAAAGGCAGGATACAAAGTGGTACCTACCGTTACAAATATGTGCGAGTATAAAAATTTATAGCAAACATATGTTTGGAGCGAAAAGGCTTAGAGAAAATACTCAAAATATCATTTCTAACTTTTGCAAATTCTCCATATGAGAATTACTTTTCTAGTCAGAAAAAGTTGTTTTTCTTTAAACAATGAAATAATTCTATTTCTACATTTGAGTACTCTCTTTCCTCATCCAAAGTTTCTAAAAATTCTTTGGGTTGAATACTACTGTAACTATTTATAGGTAAATTGACTTAAACTTATGTTGACAGGTTATTTGATCTTAAAATCTGGCATAGAAAGAAATGTATTTGTAAATCACATAAACACATTTTTTTTTCCTGAATTAAACAGGATCCTTGCAAATTTGAGAACACTTTCATGGGACAATGAGTATAAATGCTTAAGATTTATCAATATGATGTTTTAAGTCACCAAGTCAAAGAAATTTTTCAATTATAAATATTTCTAAAGCAAATAAAGTAGCCTATTCATTACTCTCTCACTATGCCAATAAAAAGTTTGCCATAGTTTTCGTAGGGCTCCTAGTTTCATGATTCTATTTTTATAAGAAAGAACTGATTTGTCTTAGGCTATTACTGTCTATTACTTCTAGAAGTCTTGAGGAAAGGTGGGAAGCAGCAAATTCTGGCAATCTGCCTAAAGAGAAATCAATGAAACAAATTAATCCTTCGCAGGCTGCAATGACACAGTAATCCATCATTCAGAGCTGCTTTTATATACCAAATCAGAGAGCAGAGGAAAGAGCCCTAGGGGACATCACAGACAACAACTTACACCAACACTGGGAAAATACTGAGGAATCAGTTTATTTAAAGAGGATAGATTTCAGTTGATTGCCTATTTCGTCAAATAAAGATTTTTTTCTTCCACAGTGTGGTGAACCGAGGGCCCAATGACTATATCTTCAGAATTCAGTACCATATATGCTGGCTCACATCAATAGGGGATGAATGTTTTTAAATAATTAGCATCCTTAATCAGTATGAACAAATAGCTAAAATAATATTACCTTTCCATTAAACTCCAAGTGTTTAACACATTCCATTTTCAGTAAGAACTAACTATAAATGGACCTACTATAGATTAGTAATCTATAACTTAACGGACCAACTCCTGGTAAACCACATTTGAGGTGCCTTTTCACACAGAAAACATAGCCATTTAAGATACATACTTAGGGGAATACTTCCTATGTACCATGTTAAGTTTAAATACTTGAAAATTAAAACTTTACCTCTTGCAGCATAAATTCCAACAAGCATATCAGGTCATATATAAATAAATACCATCATAAACAAATAAGTTGTTTTATGGTGATAATTAATTGGCTTTAAATAGTTGACAGTGATGACAGATAAATTTAAATGTGGTTTCTTTTTAAAATAAACTTATAATCAATGTATAGCAATACATTCACACTGGCAATGTTTATTTCTACATAATCAAAAACATAAGCATCTAAATAGACTTATGCACCTGAGCAAGGCTTACTAGAGTAATATATTCTGAGTGGAAGGATATTCCCTAGATGAAAACTAATGACAAGAACTATAAAGTCGCAGTGTACTAAAACTTAAAGGTATGCATCATTTTCCTGGTTAAATGTGAGAAGTTAGTGAAAGAAAAGGATTTTCAAGAAATAATCAAGCAAAACCTGTCACAATGATCTCTGAAATATTAAAACCTGAAATCTCTCATCATGGATCTAAAACAGGGGGGGAGAAAGGTGAAATAAATGCTAACTAGTCTATTTTTGAGTGGCATCTTCGATTCCGAGGTCTATAGCCATATGATTACAATTCCTGGCCATGCTGATGCATTTTTAATTCGATGCATGAATCTAGTATTTATTGATTTAATAAGGTTAAGGGTATTACATTGTTGCTGCTACTGATGAACTGTCAGCAACATAATCTAGTGAAATCTTACAGAAGAATATATATTTTCGGGGAGAGACAATAAGCTATGTAAATATAATCCCTTCACTACCCAGAACAGTGGCAAAAGCAAAGTGCCTTCTTTTCCAGACTGCTTTGAGCTACACACATTTTCTTTCACTGAAGATGAGGGCCACCAACTGATTGAGGTTACTGATAGGAGGCTGCAGGACAGGCTTGTGCACAGACCTCCAAATTTTGAGAAAGCAATGACTTATCTCGTCATATCCACCCGCTGGCCTCTCCTTACAGGTTTTGAGGCAGGAGCGTGCACACACACAGACATACATGCACACAACTGAAGACCTGAGTTCTTACCTTGTCACCTAAAAAGGGTTTTAAAAAACCCTTCAGCAATTTCTTCTCTCTGGACCTAGCATCATCCACAGCATCATTAGCATGCAGCAGACAGAAAAGAAAGGAGAAAATTCACTTTCTCAAAAGCAATTTTGCCAAAATACAACCAAAGGAGAGAAGCTTAAAGGCTATGTCAAAGTAAGGAGGTATAGGATGCAGAATCAGAAAGGGGGAGAAAAAGCTACCAAAGTTGCTGAAACAAACACTTGGGGACTATTAGAAAGCTTTTCGCACTGCTGTGCTACCCTGCTTGTGGGCTTATTTCCCCAACCTGGACACCTGGGAAGCATGCTGTGCTCCAGCTTTTCCCTGACTTTGAAGAAATGGATAATCTAAGGAGCGGTGCTGCTGCTGGGGTCAGTAAAACTATGCTAATTGGTGAACCTAATTGCTTCAAGCAGTCCGGCCTCTAAACAGGGAGAGCACAGTTGATGGAGTCAGTCTGTTCCTAATAAAATGAAGAAGCACTGAATTAAATTCCCAAGGAAGGCACTATAAAAGTTTCCACAGTGTAACCAAATGACTTCACCTATGCTATTACCCCTAAGATGACATCTTTGAAAGAAAGCAGACCCCAGTCGGGCTCCATATTCATAAATTGGCTGAGCTTAGGCCAGTGAATCTGGATTGATTTAAAAAGGCTTTTTCATCCTTCCAATCAAATGAAGTCACTGTTAATTAGGTGCTTTCTGTTAACAATGTCACTCTTCTCCACATTACCTGCTCACACTTGCAGTGCCTCTAGTGCAACATCTGGAGCACCAGTTCCCCTGCAATCAGTCCTCACAAGTTTGGCTGGAGGGTGGTGGTATTTCCGTTTCTCAATCCCTGTCTGAAGGAAGATACTATTCAGTGTACTGGTCGCGAGATACATCTCCTCTCTCTAATTTGAGAGTTTCTAAAACAATCTCTGGGGAAACTCTTGAGATATGGTTTCCCAATATCTTTTTAATGAATTACACCAGCCTTGCAGATGGATGTTTCCCCAAAACGCCAAAGGCCACAAAGTTATCTCCCACTGACTTCTCAGCTTAAAACCTAGCTCCTCTTTAAACTGGAAAATCGGGTTTGAAATTCCCCAATTGTGCCTCAGACCTGCTCCCTGCCCCTCTAGGACCCACACCTTAAGAAGACTAGCTCCCCATGGTGGGGCAAACTGGTTAGGCAGCCCCAGAGAGGCAAGAGCGCTCTAAGCAAAGAGGGGAGAGAAGCGTAATGGGGAAAACACGAAAAGGGGCTCTCCTTCGACGGTGGGTCTCTGAACCTTAAGAGGTTGGGTGGAGGCCGGCTCACACACCCTCTGGGCCCAATCCAAAGAAGTTTGCAGCGCCGACCCAGGGGATGTTGAACTGCCAGCTCGGACTGAGGGAGCCGGCCCGGGGTTCCGCAAGCGTGCGCCACCCCCCGGTGGGGCCCGGCTTCCTTCCCAAATCTCAGCCCGCACAGGCCCCGGACTCTGTCACACCCGTGTGGCTGCTTCCGCGTGGATGAGAGCGCGGCTCCAGCCCTCAGACAAGGGCCCTCAGCTCTCCTCACCAAGTCCCGACCCCTCAGCCTGGCGAGGCGCCCCACTGGAATCGAGCCCCGGGCCACCCACCCCGCGCGCTACACTGCGGGTGGCGATGAGGGCCTCGCTGCAGAGGCTGCTCCCGCCGCCGCCACGCTTAGGGCCCGAGTCCCCATACCTGGAGAAAAGGAGCGGGCGGGGCCCAAGGTCCCTAACAGGGTTCCTAGTTCTCTAAGTGCAGAATCCGTCCTCCAGGCTGCTGCCTTGTGAGGTGACCCCGGGGAATTAGAGCCCTGGGCTGCGGCGAGGATGACCTGGGCTTGGGGACGTGGCCCAGGTCGCCTCGGGGTCCGCAGAGGGCCGCGCAGATCGGAAAACTCGGGTGGACAAGGAGCTGACACGGGCACCTCAGGACCCCGGCAAGGCCTTCCCGAAAGCCTTGGGGATCTGCCGCCAGGTCGTGGACTTCATGATGCACAGGGAGCTCATGAACGGGAGTCGCCGACAGGGGATAGAACTGGACCTCAGGGGCCTGTCCCTGGCTCTGAGGCGCCCTAGGGCCAGACCACGGCCTCGGAGCCTTGACCGATGTCCTCCCTCGGGTAGGGGCTGCGGAGGGGTCGGGGGCTAGACGGCTGAGCAACAGTGGGTCTTGATTTCCTAGACTTCACAGAGGGCAGAACCATTCTAAATGAGGTTAGACAGCGTCGGCGAAAGGACAGAACCACCGCGGACAGGCGCACTCTGCCAGTTGGGACTCTTAATTGCATTTCTTCAAATCTTTGACCCCAAACCTTCGCCTTGTGACAACGGACGCCTCTGCAGGAAGGTTTGGGGAAATTAAGTTTCTTGGGACTCCCGCGTCCCTGTTATGTGGGCTCAGGGAAGAAGGCAGACAATGGCAGCAGCCGAAAGAAACACCTGCGATCTCTCAATACAATAAAATATGGACGGTGATTGGAGCAATTTCCCCTTCCGCTTCCAGAGGGAGCTCAAACCTGAAGCATCAAGGTTAACTCTTTCCAAAGTGTAAAACCTGCTGGGGACATTGTCGTCCGCTTATGGAGGAGGTCCCCCTTGTTTTCTCCTTTGCAAAGAGAAAAGGCGATTTTTTTTTCCCCCCCAACTTAGGGCTTGTGTGATCCTAAATTCGGAACTTGCACCGTGTAATACATTCCTTTGGCCCGCTGGAGAATAAACTAGAACTAAGCAAGGGGAAATCTGACAAGGGAAAGGGAAGGTGCTAAAGAAAGAGTAGAGGGAGGAAATCTGGGTCCGTAGGATGGTCCGGCTGCTCTAACCTGGCGGCGGGACCCAGGTCCATTGAGTGTAAATCCCAAGACACCCTTACCTAGGGCTCTGCGGAAACCCGACATAGATGCAGCCACGTGCTCAGGGCAACTGGGATCTGGCTCTGATTTCGGGGCGACTTACACACACACACACACACCCCACATGACATGTGCCTAGGACGAGCTCCCTCTGAGATTGTCCAGGCAGAGGAAGACGCGAATTCCCGCAGAGCAGGGCTGCTTGACCATTTCGCTCACGCGTCATGAAGGGTAGCTCTACTCTGCATAGAAGGGCAGAGGACAACGCTTGTTGTGTGGGGCACCAGCCCCGCACAGAGAAAAGGCTGTTAAAGTAGCAGAGACCACCGAGGGGCGGCGTCCTCGGTGGCTAGAGTCTCCTCTCTGCCCTCCGATCCGGTCACCAGCCATCCCGAGTTCGCCCGGGTCCCGGTTCCGCCCCGCTCTCCACAGACACGCAATAACCCCTCGCCAGCCCGAGCTGCGCGCGCTGGTGTCCCCTCTCCCCAGACACCCCAGTCCTGTGAGCTAGGGCTCAACCTGCATCGACGATAGAGATAGAAACAACACAAGCGCCTCTTTTCCTGCCTCCAGATCCCTGTTTTATCCTCCCACCGAGCAATGATTTGCTGGTGTTTGGGGTGGCTGTTCTTTTAAAAGTATATTAAAGGATCATTGGCGTCTCCCCGTCAAGTCATTACGCCTTTATCCCCATCAATTAACCACACCTCAGAGGGCTGCTATTAAGAGCTAAATTGAGCTGCAAAAATAGGTATCCCGTTTCAGGCAGATGTTGTCATCTCCCGCTGAGATAAGCGGCCGGCGGGCCCGACCCGCAGCTTCAGCAGCTGCCGAAGCCTCCTGGACTAGGCTAAAGGTTCGCGCTCGGGGCCACCAGACTGCAAGGGAAGTCCCCGCCCAACACTGCACTGGTGCTCCAAGGGCGGGGAGGATCCGGGAGGGCCTCAGCCCTCGGACCTCGAGTGCCATGCCTGTCAAGGAGAAATTGTCTTCAGAATTATGCCAGGGAAAAGGCCAAGGGCGAGCCGCGCGTTTTTGCGCGGAGACCTTGAGTGGGGAGTGTTCGCAAAGTCCCAGTTCGCGGTCAAAGACCCAGACCCGGGGTTGGGAGGGAGACAAAGCAGTTTGGCTGGCAGCCCTCTTCCGACGCACCCTACCTCCTCGTCTCACCATTCTAGCCTCCTTCTTGCCTAGCTAAGGCCCCCAGAGCCCCCAAGGACCCCTCGTGGAGGAAGGCGCGGTACTGGGGAGATGCTGAATTTGGAGCTAGGGACTCCGGGACAGAAACTGGGCTTTTAGGACAAAGGGTATGTACTTAAATCCGCCGTGGCCTTCAGCCCAAATCTATATTTCCACTCTTTCTCTCCCCCAATCACTTCCAAAGACTTGGAGCAGGTCTGTCGCGCGCGCAGCTGGGAGACCCCAGAGAACTGAGGAAAAGAGGGAGCAAGGGGACTTGGCCTCCACTGCACTTACAGGGCTTTCCTCCCAACAGTGGCCACAATAAATTTAGCCAAGGCTAAAGGAGATTAATTTCCCAGCATAATCCAATTAAAAGATTTCTAAAGTAATCTTTTGCGAAAATGAAAAAAAAAAAGTGCGCGGATAAAGAGGGGACTGGTTTTGATGACAGTGATTTATCGCCTCGGCACAGCAGGCGCTAGTCGCTCGCTCTTCTGCACGCGATTTGACCACAGCATCCCGTCAGTGCCTCCAGACCAACCCTTCGCCTTCCTGAAAGACAGCCATCCATCACGCCAACCTGGGCTGGAGAGAATGTGCTAGGGACTGGGGTTGCTCACAAGCACCATAGACTTTTTTAAGTGCTATTAGATTTATGGTCTCTTTTTCGACACCCATCCAGAGTAATTAGCACATATGTTCTAAATAGATGATAGTTTTGTGAGCAATAAAGCAATTACCCATCGTTGGAGCTGACAGTCCTCCAACTAAACTCCAACCAGCAGCTAATTGGAAAAGTCATTTCAGCTCCATTGTCTGCAATTAGTCCTGCTAAACTACTACACCCCAACTAGCTGGTTTGAGGTTAATTTATTCAGTGTTGTATTTGCACGAAGGAGCCATTGCCAGGAAGGGACTTGCCTTTTGCCCCTCCAGACTGCGCCCAGGGACTTTAGGAGCAGGTGGGAGCAAGAGGCTGATGTTTGGGAGGCGAGATGGCTCCCCAGGGAGGAAGCTCTCTGCTCCTTCTCAGGGTCAAGGTCTGTGTCCAGCCCTCTGAAAACTGACGGGAAAAGCCATTGTTTCTGCAGTGGGGCAGTAACTGAAGGAACTGCTCACTCTGTACTAACAAATCCTTGGTGAGGAAAAGTCAGCACAGAATAGGCAACTGGGTGAGTGAGCCTCTCTTCCCAAGGGCCCCATTCATGACCCTGAGACAACCGGCACATCCTTAAGGGATTAGCTTAGAGTCAGACCCACCAAAACAGACATATTCTGAGCTCTTGTCTAGGAGAGGGTGCCCTGAATTCTTGGAGTGTTTGGGGGAAAGAAAGAAAAAAAAAAACAGAAATATCAGAAAGCCCTGCTTCTGTCTTCAGCCTCTCTGAGTACAAATCCATTGGCCCCTTAAAACTAAGGGTTCTCTGAAACTTTCTTTTTTTCTTTTTTCCTTTTCCCCTTCTTTGCTTCTTTCCTTATCCTTTTTCCTCTTCTTTCTCAAGTTAAGCCCAACAGGTCCAGGATTTGTGCACAGTGAGTGGGAAAAAGGTGTTAAATGTCTGTTTGACACCCCGCCGGAGCTTCCAAATATCCAGTGACTGAGATTCTTCTACTTAATTTAATCTTTATTGGACAGGTCGGCTCCTTCATTTTTATTCACCAGGAAACCCCTGGAAACAGATCCACTGGGGTTCAGAATTGAGGGCAGGAAGGAGAAGAGTTAAGGAGAGATTAATCCTCTCCCACCCAACCTCTAACTTTGGAACCGCGATCTCCAGTGAGCTGGGGGGATCGGGAGGGGGCTCAAGGTCTCTGCTCTGACAGCCAAGGGTCTCTGTGCTCAGAGCAGGGGGTAGGGAGGCTGGCAGGTTGAGATGTGAACCTGTAACCCTGGTAACGGAGTATTCCCTTAAAGGAATTTTCAGCGAAGTGTCCCAGGGTCTGGGAGCAAAGAGAATTTTACTTAGAAGAACATGGGGTTGGGGGGGGCGGGGTGTCTACTTTGTAGGAGGTAAAGCCCAACGCCTTCAGTCCTAGAAATCAAATGTCCTTTTCTGGATAATCATTCATACTGTTTTTCCTTTTTGAAGTAAATACAACAATGCCTAAGGAAGAAAACTTAGATGGTATTTTAGCCAGCATGTAAAATTTACTAACATGATTCCAATTTCAAAACAAATTGTAATCAATTGTTCAGCTTCAAAGATTTAGAGATACATATCTACAGCAAGAAAAACTTTTAAACTGCTTAATATCAGGCTCTTGTTTTCTACAGATTTATTGTTTTAACCAATTTAATTCCAAGAAAGACCAAAAAGGAAAAAAATGGGGGAGAATTGAAATTAATGGTTTCATCTTACCC